AAAGTCGGTTAAAAAACTTTTTCTAGAAAAGTGCTTGAGTATGTATGGATGTGCTCATGTGTTATATTTTGACAAAATATTTTCATAGAGTAAATGCTTCATGTAATCAATAGTCGTTTAGTTGGTTGTGTATGAAGTTCGAATAATAATGTTTTTCGTTTGAATTAAAACTAAATTAGGCTGAGATTTCAATTGTTCTTTTGGATGGATAACGATGGCTAAATAAAAATTGAAAACTAAAGATTATTCAAAATTTTTATCATACGATAAAATATACCTGTTTTCCGATCCACTAATGAACACCAAGTGAGTAATTGTAATTAGATGAGATTTATAGGTTCGACAGACAAAATTACCTTTTGTAAACCGCTGTAATTGTTCAGTAATTAAATATAAATCTTAATGAAAACGTGAATCAGTCTCATACGTTGTCACATCAATATATAATGATACGTTGAATAAATATTCAAATCCATTCATAATACGAATGATCAACTCGTTTGAGGGAAAGGAAAACATGCACTTCGATCATACCAAAAGTAGTTATGGAGCTATATCAATTTCTTATCAAATACTTGAAGAAATTTTCTTTGTATATAGACTGATAGTAAAAACAAAGATCTACATTTCTACACCATTTGATCATTGTTCATCTAACATCATAATAATAAAATTTCTATTAGACTTGTTTAACTATAATATGTAACAAAAGATTAACGTAATCAAATAATGAATAATAAATCGTATTGAAACAATGATAAGAGATTTTTTTTCAATTTGGGTGTCATAGAAAAATTTATTTGTCTTTTGTAATATCATTTTTGATTCAGCTTCAATTCTTGGATAGCAGCTAGTTTCCCGTTGAGATTATTTACACGTGAGAATATCTCATGCATCTATAATGATCATCAAAAGATTCGAATGGGTGTTTGCGGTTCATCGATTAGGCAGTAGTCATTGAATGTAGGTGTGGATCTCAGACAAAAGAAGATCAATGTTCACACCCACAACTTCCTATCAAAATAATGAATATGAAAAAAGAAATATGACAATAGCAGTTGGAAATGATATACACATTGAAATAGTCATTAAGTATTACAAATTAATTATAAAGTAAATAAAAGTCCCATTTTCCTATGATTGGATTAGAAAATTTTATATCAACCACATGAGAAAAGCAACAGATACTTTAAAAATGGAATATTAATGTGAGAATAATCTGTTCACAGGCTAATCAATAGAAATTTTTACATATCATGTAGAGTATAAATGAACTATTAACAAAAAATAAAAGATCAGTAAACCATTCGAAAATAAAATTGACAGTGACATTAAGAAAAAAAAGATATGAATGTAATGAGTCGTAAGTAATATATATATAAATATGCAGAAAGGAACTTTGAAACTTATAAGATCAATAGATTTGTTGTCGAATGCTAATTCGTTGAGGACTTCAGACCACATAATTATGTTGTGTTCTAATAAGAGAAAACATGAAATAATGAATTCTCGACCAGGTAGAAGATGTTGTTTAAGATGATCGGTGTGAGTAGTGTATAGCTGTGACTGTTTTGTTCATCTACACTCACATCTCACATGCTATTTTGAGTTGGCGTTGTGATCACTTGTGCAGAAGTTTTAAAATGTAAGGTGATGGTGTCATGGTCTTCTTCAAGAGCGTATTCACTATCATAAGCATTCCATATACAACAAGGATAATCATTTGATAACTCTCACGCTATCTACTTCTTGAATCGAGTAAGTTTCATAACAACTTTGACATAGTCTCTATAAAAAAAAACTCTTGTTCCAGAGAGAGAGGGAGAAAAGTATTACATAACTGAATAGTATAATAAGTACTCAAGTAGCAAAAATTAAAATATATTTTGCTCTTGCATTGAGTGTTCTTATTAAGATTTCTTCAAGTCCCAGTGAAGAGTACCGATTTTGTGAAAAAAAAACCTTAAAAAGTTTCGCAATTAGTCAGGGACAAAACCATGCGTTTGATTTGATAGGACTTTGGTTATATAATTAATTACAAGTATGAAAATTAAAATATAGCAGGTCGACGCCTTTACTGTGACTGTTCGGATAGACCTACTTTAGACCCACACCTACACTGTCGTATCTTGTCTTTTTCATTCGACAGTTCTTGAGTGGAGAGAATGGGCTCCTGTTAGAATTCTCAAATAGAATTGCTTTATTGCACGAATTTTCATTTGTTAATGAACGAGAAACGTGCGTTTTTATCAATAATGAAACAAAATGTCGGTACAAACGATGCATACGTTAGATACTTGACAAGTAGTTTATGAACTAGATTTTTAAATATTGACTCCGCTGCGACTCAATCCAAAATTGTGAACGAGACAATCAAAATCCAATTCAAGCTTAACAGATAATTACATAGATAGTCCTCACTACGTTCGAATTCTATTCACCTAATATATATGAGTAAATGAAAACAAATCTATTACACACATCTACATTAATTCAAGTAAATGTTCGTGTCCTTTCAATTGACATGCAAAACAAAGATCATAATTTTCACATATTGAACAATGATATCTTTTTCCAATAATTGGTATCATATTACATTCGTTACAACTAATATTTTGCCATACATAATCGTCCGGTGTCGAAACAGCTACTTTTTCACCACGAGACCAACATTGTATAGCTTTTGAACCTTGACGTAATATATAATGATGACCAAAATGTGTCAATACTTTTCCATCGATCGACATGACAATTAATGCTGGCCATTCTAAGAAAACAAAAACAAGATAAATCTGAATTTGTTGAAATAGAAACTAACCGTGAGGTGTAAAATATGCATAGAATAAACGATAATAATCGGATGGAATTGTAAACCATGGCATATTCGACCAATATTTATTAGGTAATTGTTCATCTATATCGTATGAAATGATTACTATTGGAAATGGATTTATTGTCGGTTGTGTAGCTTTATAATCTTGGATTAATTTCTGTGTCAAATCACAATTAAACGAATAACGATAAGCTAAAAAGTAAAATCCAATAGCTTTAACATCGTCTTTCCAAAGAATTTCTGTTTTGACTTGTTCTTGTTTATTTGAATTCAGTAAATAAGGTACAGATGCAAAAAATTCATTCATTGAATATTGTCGGTTTGGAACAAGATATTCGACTAATGGATGTTCATGTTTGATTTTATCAATACATTTTTTACAAAAATTAAACTGACATTGACGATTTATGCATCCATACCGAATACCGACTAATGGACGCATGTAACATTGATCACAATGAACGTGATTCCATTGAAATTCATTTGGTTGTGGTTGACATGAATGAAAAAGAGATTTTCCTTGAGACCATAGAAATAGAATCGAATCAGATTTAATACTAAATTCTAGAGAACCTTCTGACGTAATTATTTCACCGGATGATGACAAAATAATTAAAGATGGACTGCCACAGATTTTGAAGTTTTTGTAAAGTGTTTCTAAACGTTTTCCATCTAAACGAAAGATCTTATTTATATAAAATTATTTATTGATTTAGAATGATACCTTGAAATGGTATTGCTTTCCATGGCATCTCTTTGAAACTTTCATTAAATTCAGTTTGACATTTGTCTCGAGAAATAAAAATAATTTCGAATTTTTCATTGATTTCATTATAAACATTTCTATAGACTTGAGCTAATTTCAAAGTAAATTCTTGACAATATGGCCACCGATGAGATCTGAAATTGTACATTGATTCCTTTTTTTTTGTCTTTCAAATCAACAAAAACAAAATTAACTCACGAAAAGTAGAGTGCAACAATCTTTCCATCGAGTTGTTTTGTTGATACTTCGACTAATTTTTTATCATCTTCTTGAAACTGAAGCAATACATCTCCAAATAATTCAATCAATACCGTTGCCATAATTCTATGTTAGAAAAAGCAAAGGGAAAAAAAAACACTGAAGAATGATTGACATGTAATATGAACAAGAAAAAGAAAAGACTATGTGAGAATGCTACATGCTCGATGTTAAAATTTCTTTCTTTTTTTCATTCTTATCTATTCCACCATTCCTTATGATGCACAAAATATGTGATTGGATATCATCAACAATGATAGAGTGGTTACATATTTTTATGTAATTCTCTATTCAAAAAAAAAATGTAATCTTTCTTCGCCTCATGGTTCGAATTATAAAGATATGAATGCAGATGTGATTGACACGAATACTAATTCGTATGAAAACATATCCATACCCGACAATGGATGATTTTTTTTCCCAATATTTGTTCGGTTTCATCAATCGAAAGAAATCAATTATTCAACAAAACCATTTATTTTTACATAAAACATCAAGTTTATCATAATAATTTTCATATGCTCTGAAAAAATAATTAAGGCCCACTCAAAAATCGATCTCACGAGGGAACATTCCCAAGTGTCACTTCGATTTTGAGTCGAGCGTATGCGCATCATGTGGGTCCTAATAACCTATGAATACTCTGAAAAAAGTTCGTGCCGCTTGCTTATTACTGCCGAGATATTGGATTTTTACTGTATATTTAAGAAAAAAAGCTGTGGTCCTCCTCAGAAACACTAGAAAACCTAATTTTCGAATTTCGACTTGAAACTTTGCATAGAGATAGGCCTCAGCGAGAATAGTTTATTGTGAAAGTTTTAGATCTTTTCGTTGTTCCTATCCTAAGATACAGCTATCGTAAAATAGCTTATATACACCAGCAGATTCCGATGTTCTTATTTCAGACTAGGAACAATCAAAAGATCTGAAACTATCACAATAAACTATTCTCATTGAGACCTGTCTTTGTACAAAGTTTCAAGTTGAAATTCGAAACTCAGTTTGCTTAGTGTTCCTGAGGGGGACCACGGCTTTTTGCTTATACATACAGTAAAAATGCAATATCTCGGCAGTAATAAGCAAGCGGCACGAACTTTTTTCAGAGTATTCATAGATCATTAGGACTTACATGGTGCACATACGCTCGACTCAAATGCGATGTGACACTTGGGAATGTTCCCTCGTCAGTCCAGGAATGTTCAAATGGTATGAAATTTCCAGCCCGATATCATGACGTTTGAGGGAGATATTGACCAAACAAGGGTCAAAAATAGCTCATTTGGCAAACCAAATTTCTCTGTCCAGGTTCATTATAGAGATTTAATTTTTTTTTGTTTGAAAGAGCATGTCAGGATGCAGTGTAGTACAGAGTCCTGTTTTTGTAAATACTTACTTTTTAAGAGAAGACAAAAGATTATATCACATGGACCTGAACTGAGAAATTTGAGTTGCGCGTTCGAGATATCATGAATTGAGAAAAAACGAAAAAGATTTTTGGTTTTTTTCAAAAATGGCTTATTTTTCGAATAGGGGATGACGGAAATCTTCAAAAATTTTTCGGAAAAAACAAGGTACCGGGCAAAAATTTTTGTCGTTAATGAGAGATCAAATCATGGGCTATCTTTCTCTGCATTTATCTCAATTTCGATGATTTTGACGAAAAGTGACTTTTTTTGAGGAGGAGAGCTTAATCGAACAGTTAATAAAATTTTCGCTATATTCAAGTTCATGAAATACTTTAAAATCAATACACGATTTTCTCTTTGATAAAGCTTTATTAATGTCAAAAGAAACTAAAAAACCAAATAAAACTTTACATTGAACACGTTGTCAAACAATCCTTTTTTGATTCAGATGAATCTTCTCGAAAAAACAAGTACGTTCTAACAGCTCGTTTTTTTCTTTTTATCCGTTCATTCTTTCGTAGCGAGAGCATGTCAAATAAACAGAATAATTCACACCCAATGTGATAAACAATGAGTTCAAATTATAAGAAAGAAGATGATAATCTCTAATGTACAATTTGTATATAATTGTGAATGATAAAGAACAGCACGAGCGAGAGACAAATCAGAATGTATATTAAAGTTGATTGATGAGGAATCTATATCATTATCGATACAATAAATAAGCGCATGAATAATATTATGAAGATTATGTAATTTTAAATAAAAAAGAACTTCACGTTCGCTAATTGCAGTAGTCATTTCAACAATATAATTATCAGATCGTCTCTTCTTAATAATGTCTTTTTCGAATATCACTGCCTTATTGATAAATATTTTCGGAATGTACGTATATTTTCGAATAAAATAATAGTCAATGAATTCGGCTCTCCCCTAGACTCTGTTAACGATAAATGACGCGTAATTGATATCAACTCGAACATTATACTGAAACTTTGTAGATTCCAACTATTAGTATCAATACTACAAGTGTGATTTTTCAATGCAGCAAAACAATGTTATTGTGAATGTCAATCAGAAGTGTGGTCTTTTTTTTTTCGAAAAGAAGCTAGGTAGGGTGTGGGTGTAAGTGTAGAGAAGATTTATACACACACACCCACACCCACACACCACACCCTCCAGAGATCCTTAAAAGACTAGCAGTCTTAGGTTCTAAGAACCATCATACCAATGTCAAAAAATGCAAATCTTTATGGTTAAAAAATCTGTTAGCGCAATCCCTGTGAGATTAAAATGTGAAACACGATTTAGATATTGTGTAATTATATTGGGG